GCCTAAATCCCCACGACTTCATGTTTCGCTATTGCGACGGACCAGCCACCCACCTCAACCCTAAACCGTAAACTCCTAAACAGCCAAACCCCTAAACCCCCAAGCCCCAAGCCCTGAACCCCAAGCCCTAAACCAATAAATCCTGAACCCAGGCACATGTTGGAAAGCGTCATCAATGCGCTGAACAAGTCTCTCGGCGATAGTCTGGCTAAGCAGAGAGGAGCCAGAAGGGCGAAGGGCACTCTAAGGGTACTTGGAGGATCATGGGACTTAGTAAGTAAGGGTACAACTCCCTTAATTGGGGTTATTGGCAATTATAAGTACAGTTACCTTAGTTATAACCCTACTTACTAAGTCCCATGGTCCTTTAGGTATTAAGAGTGACATAAGGGTCCTCTGAGGCTAATCGAAGCCAAATATTTGGTTACTCTATGGTAATCAAAGGGTGCCATAAGTCCAGGTGGTTCTGAGCCCATCAAGAGGACTTCGCAACTCGTTATACTACCCCCATAGCTATCGTAACCCTTACAGGCGCCGTGTAGCAACCCCTTGTATCCCGTCAAAAGTAACGGGAATATACTGTAGTGTCGAGGATTCAAGATTTGGCATCTATACGGTTGATGATGGAAATCCTGCAGTACCCATAATAAGGAATATACCATGATTCCCGTAGTTTAGGGTCCTTAGGGTAATGCAGGGTTTTGTATCATCTACAGTAGGGCTGTGTGTTGTGGGTTCAGGGTTGTAAAACATGTCAGCACAGCTCCTGAAGTCTCTTCCAAGCCTGTTTTAAAACCCTAAACCCTAAGCTCTCAGCCCCCAAGCCCTAAACCCCAGACCCGCAACCCTAAGGTAGGGGCCTTCATCATTAGAGTCGAGTTTTAGGGGCTCCTTATCATGATTATAGTATAGTATCCCTCAACACCCTATTCTAATTATTAAGGCCCCTATACTAAACCCAAAACCCTCAACCCTCAACCCTAAACGATAAAACCGTAAACCCTAAACCCTGGGCCATCTGCTACTATCCACTAAATCCTATCAAACCCTGCACCCCAGGCCCCCTTCTAAACACTGGCGCTTGAGCTTCGGGTCTGGGGTTTAGGGGGCTGAACGCGCCAAGCCCATATTTGGAGGATCATGGGACTCAGTAAGTAAGGTTATAAGTCCCTTAATTTGGGGTTATAAGTAGATATAAGTATAGTTACCTTAGTTCTAACCCTACCAGTACTTACTAAGGCCCAAGATCCTTTAAGTAAACCCTAAACCCTAGTTATATCCCTACTTACTAACGCCCAAGATCCTTTAAGTACCATTCATGCGGGCCCTGCTCCCTGATTCAACCCGGAAGCCGAAGCCCCCAAGCCCTCAACTGCAAACTCTGTGCCATCATATATATATATATATAAAGTTAGGGTTTAGGGTTTAGGGTTTCGGGTTAAGCCCGAACCCCCACACCCGGAACTCGAGGCCCTACTGTACACCCTCAGCCCCCTAAACCCTAAACCCTAAACCCTAAACCCTAAACCCTAAACCCTAAACCCAAGCCCCAAAGCCCAGGAAGAGTGGCATGGTTCCTTACCGGAACTCCTTCCTCACCAAGGCCCTCAAGGCGACCAAGTGTTAGGGTTTTGGGTTTAGGGTTTAGGGTTTGGGGTTTAGGGTTTACTTAAAGGATCAGGGACTTAGTAGGTAGGGTTTTTAGTTAAGGTAACTGCACTTCTATTTACTTATAACCCCAATTAAGGGACTTATAACCTTACTTACTAAGTCCCATGAACCTCCAAGTAGGGTCTGAGGGTTTCAGGTTACTGTTTTTTTGGTTCAGGGCTTGAGGGTTAGAGGGTTTCAAGCAGTTTCGGCCCTAAATCCTAAGCCCTAACAGGTTACGTGGTATAAGGTTTAGGGTTTGAAGGTTTGAGAGTTACACGGTATAGGGTGCTAGAGGGTGCCAGGTCTACTTTGAGGGTTTCATGTCATTGGGTTTAATACAGGGGCCTGATAATTGCCTGTTCTATTTTGGGGGGCTCCTTAGTATAATTATGGTAGAATATACCCCAAACCCTTTTCTAATTATTAAGGCCCTTACGTTAGAGTTGAGTGCCTGGGCCTGTCTGGGTTTCAGGTTTTAAGATTCCTCCGCAACCTTGGAAACGCAACGCAGCAACCGCCTATAGTATGGGCTCTGAACAAGTAATAGCAGTTTTCAGCATTCCTTTCTTTGAATGGGAATGTTTTAATAGGAAGATACTGTAGTGCAGCGCAAGACCCTACTATTCTAGCTGTTCAAGGTCCTATGCTTTGCGCGGTAGAGCTGTCTTGAAGGGCTACTGAAGGGGGTGTTGGCTCTAACTGTTAAAGCCCAAACCCTAAACCCTAAACCCTAAACCCTAAACCCTAAACCCTAAACCCTAAACCCTAACTGTTAAAGCTTCATCATTTCGGGGGCCTGTGAGCATTTCGAGCGTTCTGCAGAGTTGGAAGGGCTTAGGGGCAGGGCAGGCAGCCTTTGACCTAAAGCTTGTGCTTTCGGGTTGAGGGCGCAGGGTATGTAAACGGCTTCCACAATTCAAAGGCCAAGCTTTCTTGGGCTAGGGTCCTCACTTAAGTAAGGGGTGAGGGGGCGGGGGTGCAAAGAAAGATGTAGAGGGAGATGTTGGGTTGTGCGCGCGCGTGCGTGTCTTGCGGCTTCTATAGGAGACTGTGCAGCCATTATTCGTGTTGCTCCCCCCACATATTGACAAGGTGTGGCAATTTTCAGAGGACTTCTTCGTGCAGTCATCCTTCGGCACGACAAGAAGCAGCTCGAGTAGCAACGCTCGTGAGTGCATATAAAGAGGCGTGGACGTATGGCACGGCAACTCTACTTGAAATTGCAGGAGCAGTACATTCAACTCTACGGATGGTGGTCCAGGACGGTTCTACTTAAAGGATCATGGGACTTAGTAAGTAGGGTTATAACTAGGGGAACTATACATAAAACCCCAATTAAGGGACTTACAACCTTACTTACTAAGTCCCATGAACCTCCAAGTAATTAGTCGTCCCTCGACCCACAAACGCTACAGCAGGGTTCAGGCTCAGGGCAGCCCATGGGCAGCCAGAGCTCGGTAGTCTTCACGGTTCAGAACGGACGACGGCTGCTGCTGCTGCTGCTGCTGCTACGACGACGACAACAACAACGATTACCACTGCCGCTGTTGAAACTTCTGCTGCTTCTGCTCTTGCTACTATTGCTATTAGGAACACGACGGCTACGACTGCTGCTACTGCAACTTCTGCTATTCCTGCTACTTCGTTTCTCGTGCTACTCCTACTTCTCCTGCTTCTCCTACTTCTCCTACTCCTCCTCCTCGCGACGACGACGACGACGACGACTACTACTACTACTACTACTACTGCTACTACTTCTGTTCTTGAAGTACTACTGCTTGCACTACCAGTATAGCTGCTAAAACTACGTCTGCTACTACCAGTACTAGAACTAGCAACTTTTCATGGTTTCAAGCATTTAGTTGTGACTTTTAGTGCCCTTAACCCTAAACCCTAAACCCTAAACCCTAAACCGTCTAGTGTGTATGATTGCAGGTTTCGGAGATTTTGGGTTGTTCGGCACCAGGTCTCGGTCTCTACCCTCAGCCCCACACCCTAAACCCACGCAACCTAGTTAAAGGATCATGGGACTTAGTAAGTAGGGTTATAACTAAGGTAACTAGACTTACAACCCCAATTAGGGGACTTATAACCTTACTTACTAAGCCGCATGATCCTCCAAGTAGACCCCCAACCTAGAAAACCCCTGAGGGCCTAAACCCTAAACCCTAA